GAGTTCTTTTAGATGGGAGTCAGAAGTGCCCCCCACACACACACAACAGCCCCTCATCCTGGTGGCTGTAGCTTCAGACTTCCCCTCTAGATGTGATGGTGCTGGGCTGGTGCTGTTTAATCTTCCCATTGCAGCGTGCCTACCATGGTTCTTTGGCCCTGGATTTCTTCCCCAGCTTGACCTGACCCATTCCCAAGATGGGGCTTCTCGTGTCTCTTGGGCTGGTTCTCTGTCTCTGTTCCCCCAATGTGGCCAGATAGGAAGGTGACATGAACCCTCTGGAGGGTCACCAATACCCCTAGTATGCCCTCTACAAGGACTCAGGTACTTTGATGCATGTTTCAAACCTGTGACTTCCAGTTCTCAGGACAGTAGCACCCACTAGGAGGACTGCATGCTCTTCAGGTGTTTCCTGACATCCAACCTTACCACGTTCATTCCCCCTCCCCCCTCCCAGAGACCACACACTTCCTCCACAGGCTTTAGACTCTCCACAGAGACCCGCTGGAAACTTGGCATGCTCTTCTTATTACCTGTGATGTCATTTTCATGCACAGTGGACAGAACCTACCTACCTAGCACAGTCAAATCGTTTCCTGTTTTTAAATTTTCATTTTTATTTTGCTGAAACTGTTCTCATCAGAATCATATTTTCCATGTAAAATGTTCAATGGAGTCTTGTTTTGTTGGTCATGATTTTTTGTTCATATCAACCAACTACAGCGTTTGCAGTTGGAAATGTACTTTTATGGACATCGTATCTACCAAGTCCAACGATTCTAAATCAAATTTCACAGACAGAAATTTTATCCAAAAGATTTGCTTCTGTCAGTTTTTAGTCACTAACAAATTTTTCTACGTGCAATTTTTGTTTTATTCTGTTTGATTATTTTTACCATAAATATTCATTATAAATCGGATAAAAGAGTTTGCATTTATTTCTTAGCTAATTTATAAAAAAAATACTAAGCAATTCACCTCAGCTGTTTGAGGATTGCTGCATTCTAAAAGACTGGGGAAAATCCACTGTGTCTATATATTTTTTCATCACTTTGGATCTTGTGTTCTAAAGTCCCCTTCTGCTGCAGAGCAGAGAGCAAGTGGAAGGGCCAAAATGGCTTGCTTTGCTACACATCCATCAGTATTTTGGGGAAAGACATAGGGATGTTTTAAAAAAAGCTTTTTGCTCTCTCTTCCCCCTGATTTTCAGCCCTTTCCAAGTTTCTCTGACTCACCATTCTCCTGCTCCTCCTCTGCCCCACTTCTGTCTTGCCTGTTCACTTCCTGCCCGTCATCCTTCTTTCCCTGCTCCAAGCCTCACGGGCTGGCCCAAGGCTGAGACTGTAGCTGTCCTTGGTCCCTCTCGGTTGCTTTCTTCTGTTGCCCCACCCCCATCTCTTTCCAAGAGTTGCTCATCAGAGTCCCCAGTGTCATGATCGTAAAAGCTCAGAGAAGAAACTCTTGCCCCTGCCGCTCAGCACCCCTCGGGACCAGGGGCTGGGAGAGGCTGTGTAACTGCTTGAGGGTTGGGGTGGGGGTGGTGCTCCAGCAGCAGCAAGAAGCAACCTGCTGTGCGGGCGTAACGTAACCAGCAGACCTCACGTCTGCCAGGAAGATGGGATGGATGACATGATCTCAGGAGGCCCCCAGATCGTGGAACCGGGGAGCTGCATTTCAATCACCATCATGTTAGATTTATTGGACACCCCCTGGGTGCTTAGATCTGTAATAAATGATTTCATCCTTCAAGCCCTGAAATCCAGTTTCTGCCTTTTTAGCAGCTGTTTAGCACATTGTAATACTGGGCTGAGTTTTTACAAGTTTTTGTTATTCTGTCATCATTTACCGCAAAAACTATGGTTTTTAAATGAAAGAAGATTTAATAATGATGCAGGGACAGCCCTTCACCTCTTCTAGGATAAAATCCTGTAGGTTTCCACTGCAGGTCAGCTCCTCTCAGCGAGGGTGAGACCAGACAGCATCCTGCCAAGAGGGAGGGTGGGACTCCTGGGGAGAACATCTGTGGTGGGACCAGAGCTGCGGTGGGGCAGGCTGAGGGGAATACCTTAGGAGAGACTTGGGAAAGGCAGGGACAGAGACAGAGAGCACACGCTTGGGAATAGTTTCTTTCATTTAGTCAATAAATACGTATTGAATGCCTACTATGTGCAGGCACTTTTCTAGATGCTGAAGATACAGCACTGCATAACACATATTAAAACTCCCTAGCCTCATGGAAGAGGAGCCCTGGTGGCACAGTGGTTAAAGCGCTTGGCTGCTAACCAAAAGATCAGCGGCTCAAACCCACTAGCTGTTCCGCGGGAGAAAAATGTGGCAGTCTGCTTCCATAAAGATTTACAGCCTTGGAAACCCTATGAGGGCAGTTCTACTCTGTCCTATGAGGTCTCTATGAGTTGAAATTGACTTGACGGCAATGGGTTTTATCCTCACGGAGGTGGTTCGGTGGTAGTATTTTCGGCTTCCACGTGGGAGACCCAGGTTCGATCTCCAGTCAATGCACCTCATGTGTATCCACCACCCATCATTGGAGGCTTGTGTGTTGCTGTGATGCTGAACAGGTTTCAGCAGAGTTTTCAGATTAAGACAGTCTAGGAAGAAAGGCCTGGTAATCTATTTCTGAAAATCAGCCTGTGAAAACCCTATGGATCACAGATGCACACGGGGTTGCCGACTGGACAGCAGCTTACCATAACCCTCGCGGAGCTTATGTTCTGACAGGAAGAGGCAGCCTATAAAGTGAAGGAATAAAGTCGGTGACGTGTACTAAAGCAGAGAGGGAGGCAGAGCGCATTGGGGGCTTTAATATAAAAAGGATGATCAGGGAGGGTCTCACTGATAAAGACTTGGAGCCACTGGTAGGGAATGAGCCTGTGCAAAAACCTTGGCAAAGAGTATTCCAAACAGGGAAGAACGTGCTGAAGGGAAGAATATACTCGCTTCTGCAAATGTCAGTAAACCAGGTGTGAGCTAAGGGTGACCTGGAGGAGGTGAGCAGAGGTCAGATTCTGGATGTATCCTGAAGGCAGCACTAACAGGATGTGCTGCTGGGTTGAACGTAGATTGTGAGAGGGTTTGACCTACAGGGAGGATGGAACTGGCATTAAATGAGATGGAGAAGACACGGTGGGGGTGGGGGAAGAGTTGGTTTGGGGGCAAAGACCAGGAGTTTGGTTTGGGCCACGTTAAAGCTGAGTTCTGTGGAAGTAGCAAACCGTGTGGGGGAACCATGGGTGTGAATCTTGCAGAAAACAAAATGGGTTTGGCTAGGGAGGAGCTAAGGGAGAAAGCACGGGTGATTGGGGAGCTGATTAGGAGGCGTGCATTGTAGACAGTCTATTTATCTGCAGACAGTGGATGAAGCTGGGCATTAGTGGAGGTTGGGCTAGCTTTTGAACAGAGCACAAAAGCCCGTGGGCTGGTGGAGAGCTCATGAATGGGAGGAGCAGGGCAGGCTGGGTGAGGCTACGCTGGGGCCTGCCTCGTGGGCTTTGAGAGGTTAGATAAAGAGTGGAGTGATAGAGGAAGAGAAGGGGGGCTGTAAAATAGCCTCGGCTGTGGGGGAGCTGATGGAGCAAGGGAGCTGGACAGGGGCTGGGAGTTCTGGCCTCTAAGGAAAATGGAAGCGTGGCTCTTGAGGGAAGGAGCAGGTGCGGACTGCACCAGGGGAGGGAAGGGACAGCTCTGGGAATTACTGGGCTGCTGCTACAGGAGCCCAAGAGGATCGAGAGTATCGGGAGTCAGGTAAGCTCTGACTGCCAAAAGGTGTTCCATCCACACCCACGTTCTCTCTCCTGTGATGCATTTCACCGTTCCATGAAGCTGTTTCATTTTTCTCTTGAGTTGGACTCCCCACCCGAGAGTGCTTGTGCGTGTACATGAGGTGGCAGGCACAGGTGGGCCCACTTCACACACGTCTCCTCACACAGGGAGCTGTCAGGAGCTGATTGTCTTGTGCGTGCTTTCCCACCTGCTGGCTGTCTTTCCCTGCTTATTGGTCCTTTGGGCAGAAAACCAGGGAGTCACTGAAACTCAAATACTGAAAACATTTGTAATGCATTATTTGCAGTTCTGACAAAAATTTCAGTGGATAAGAAGATTGAAACTAATGGTTGAATTAAAATTTTGAATGATGTGTGGGTGATATGCCTATGATTACAAATAATCAATAATCTACTAATCAATACTTCTCCTCCCCACCGTTTCCCTCCCTGTTTCCCTCCTTTTCCCATATGCTCTCAGCCCTCCCAGTTGACACTGAGCTCCAAGCCTCAGGATTCTGAACTGGAGCCCACAGCAGCTGTTTGTACTGCCTGGGCTACCTGGGCAGGAAAAGAGGGTAGATGGGAAAAGAGAGATCATTTTAAAATAAGGGATGAAGATAAGGATTGGAAAGGAATCCAAGGGCTAAGTAATCGGAAGATGACTCTGGACACCATTCAGGGCTGGGTGTTATGGAGAAGTGGGAAGGCATGGTGAGCAAACCTTCCAGACTCTGGGCCCTTTAACAGCATTTCTTGGACCTGGATGTGGTGGGAGGGGTGGGGTGAGGGTGGGGGATCAGAAGACCCTGAGGCTCCCTCTGGAATGAGGTTCTAGACCTGGTGGCGAGGGAGGAGAGTGACGACTGTCTGTGGAAGACAGAACAGACTGGAGAAGGCACCTAGGAGACCCACGAAGGCCTGCAGGCTGACTGCCCCTCCTTGCCTTGGTCACCCTGGCCCACACCAGTGTCAGGCTTCCTGGCTGGGTCTGCAGGGTACAGTGAGAGGAACAGGCAGGCCCTTGGTCTTGAGGACTGGAGAAAGCAGGGAGGGGTAGGGAGAGTGAGTCCGGGGTGGTTTTCTTCTGATATGCATTTATTGCTTCCCCATTTTGCCCTAGTGAAATCTGTGTTGTGTTTCTTCCCACCTCTTTGTCTTCCCTGAACCTCTTCCCACCCCCTGGACGGGCCACCCTCTGGTCCCCTGTTCGTCCAGCAGCAGAGGGGAAGGCGTACAGCTCAGACGAGGAGAAGCTGGAGGCCCCGGTGGGCGACCTGGCGGGCAGCGAGCAGGAGGAGGAGGGCTCGGGAGCCGACAGCGAGGACGACAGCTTCCTGGATGGTGCGGTGGGCGGCCCAGGGACACTCCTGGGACCAAAACCGAAGCTAAAGGAGGGCCTGGGGACTGCAGCTGAGGAGGGCGCGCCAGCGGCAGCAGGGGCGACGGCGCCCGGGGGCAAGAGCCGGCGGCGCCGCACAGCATTCACCAGCGAGCAGCTCCTGGAACTGGAGAAGGAGTTTCATTGCAAGAAGTACCTGTCACTGACAGAGCGCTCGCAGATCGCCCACGCCCTCAAGCTCAGTGAGGTGCAGGTCAAGATCTGGTTCCAGAACCGGCGCGCAAAGTGGAAGCGCATCAAGGCCGGCAACATCAGCAGCCGCTCCGGGGAGCCTGTGCGGAACCCCAAGATCGTGGTGCCCATCCCCGTGCATGTCAACAGGTTCGCTGTGCGCAGCCAGCACCAGCAGATGGAGCAGGGGGCCCGGCCCTGACACCCACGCTGGGATGGCACAGCTGGAATGGCCCCCGGAGGGGCTCTTGGGACCAGCACCCTCGGACTGCCTGGGGGCTCAACGGGCTTGGGCTTCGATTGCTGAGGAGCTGTTGGGACTGAAGTGGACCACAGGGAGGGGTGGGATCAGACATAGCGGGCCAAAGGGCTCCTTCCTGCTGATGCCCTGGCGAAGCCTTGGACAGGGTGGGGGAACCAGCCAAGCTGATGCCAGCTCCTTATTTATTTTGTGTAAAGTTTGTATATACCGAGTGCTGTTTGTCTGCACCCTGAGAGGGACTGGGAAGTTCCCGTTTCCTCAACCTCTGCCATCCTGTCCCTTGGGGTCAGTGCCATCTTGCCTCTCTATAGCACCAGGACATGCAAAGAAAGAAATGTAACTGCCACAGGACTCCTGAGAAACTCCAATCCGCACATCCTCACCCCGGTAAACTACCTCCATTGCTGCCCCTTGTCCACACCTCCTCCAGCCCACTGTGCATGCTCCAAGTGCGGTTCTGCTTCCCCTCCCACCTCAGCAGCCACGCTTTCACTGTGGGTGGGCAGGGGCTCTACTTCCTGTGTACTGCGAGGGGAAAGGACGTACTGGGCCCCGTCAGCTGGGCTCAGACCAGGCCTGTGTAACTTGAAGAGGCTGTCAGAGCTGGGGCAGGGCGGAGGCTTGTCCATGTCCACCTGTGAGCTCACTAATAAATTATTTTCCTTGTAAAGGAAAAAAAACCACTGGGTCTGTTTCTGCTGCCCGTTGATATTCCAACGCAAGGGCTTGGGGAGAACAGGCCTGTTGACGACATGACGCGTAACCTCTCCTCCTGTCAAACCATTTAGGAAGGTTGGTACACCAAAAATGAGACGCGAGGTTGAGAGGGACTGCAGCAGAGTGGACCGGCAGTTCCAGGAGGGTTTGTATCGTGGGAGCTCTGGGGCTGGAACTCTTGACAGGCATGTTAAACGACATTAGTGGACCAAGTGAACGCAGGGCTGGAGGCTTCGGGGGCACTTGCAAGAAGCAGTGCACTGTGAGGGAAATAAGCCTGTCTATAGCCACTCGCCATCCCGCCTTCACAGGAGGGCACTGTCCTGTCCAAACCCTGTGTGGGTGGGGCTGGCTGTGGAACAGGCTGCAGGTACATCTGCACTGAAACTGGGAGAGGGGATGATTACTGAAGCCAGGTGAAGTTGTCATCATGACAGCTGGTGTGGACTGATTCGGGAGGGCATGAGGATAGAGAACAGAGCACTGAGAAGACGGGCCGGCTCTAAAGGAGCCCAGCAAATTCAGGAAGTAAATTAAGGTGTTAAGGATAGGGAGGGGAGGGGACTTGGCCACCCTCCTCACCTTCCTTAGAGGGCAAATCCTGGCTACTCCTGTTCCGCGAGCATTTATGGACCACCTTGTGGAGACCAGGAGAGCCTTTCCGTAGCCGCTCATGTCTCCTGGATGGTTTTGGCAACCAAACAAAAGCACATCAGAGTAGAGACTGAGGGTTGACGACAGTACCCAAGTCTCCAGCTAGGACTCATGGACCCAGGCAAGTCTGCCCTCTTTTGGCCAAATTTAAGGAGGATTAGGCCAAGAAAATGATAGTCCAGACCAGCCATACCTAGCCGGATTGAGATCAACGTTAGGTCTGTCTGGCCCCTTAGACTCGGCCTACAAAAGGGAACCTCCAAGGTTCACTTCTTCTTAGGAGTTAAGCCAGGCAGAAGCTGAATATCCCATGAACCACTGTCATCTCAGCTATAAGAAATCCACCTACACAGGTCTAGGCAGAGCAGAGAGTCTCTGGCTGTACTGCCTGTGGAGGGCGGAGGAGGGCCTGGGCAGGAAGGCTGCAGGGTCAACAGCTAGAACCAAGGCCCCCTGCTGTCATTTTCTTCTGGACTGACTTACGAAACCTCTTTAACTATATCAAGCAGTATTCAGCCAGCCCAGTTTCCCTTAGGGAATCTGGAGTTAATTATTTCCAGTATTTTCAAAGCCCAGGAACCCATTTCTACACATACTCACGACCTCGTCTCTATTCTGTCTTGATTCTCTATGGCTTAAGGCTCTTAGCAGCTTTGCAAAAGGGGCTGTGGATGGAGAAAACAAAACATGCTGTCTTCTAAGTAGTATTACTTGGTTATTCAACAGCCCCCAAGCAGGTTCCCATGCACAGAGCACCGGCCCACAACACCCCATGTGTACTGAGAATGGTCTAGAAGGCAAGGGTCGTCAGGCAGGGTGGTCTCAAGAATGTGGGAGCCATTGGCTCCTCAGACAGCCAAGATCCCGATCAGCAAGTTCTTACTGTTTCCCCCCAGGTTTTCTTTCTAGAATAACTAAGGGGCAGTCAGGAGGAGAGAGGCGGCTCAGCAAGATGGTGGTGGGCCAAGAGCCACCCGCCCTTCAAGTCCATTTCCACTGTGACTGAGCGGTCTGCAGACAGAACTGCTGCCCTGATAAAACTTCTCGCCTTCTTGAAACTCTTCCCCTGCGTACTGACTCGTTCAGGCTGCTGGGCGAGCTCAGACTCTCTTTGGGGGGAAGGTGGTCAGCGTAGGGGTGTGGCATGAAGTTACTCAACAAAATATTGGTGAAAACAAAGAGAGCAGCTGGACAGGGTTTTTGAAGGTGGTGGGAGCAAGGTGGGGAAGGCGGCATGCAGTAGGAAGCAGAGTTCTGTGTCTTCTCAGGGCTCGTTGCCGCTGCTCCTGCAAACACTTGCCTTCACCTTGGCAAGAAAAGACTGGAGACAGAAAAGCAAGGGGGAGGGAGGCTGAGGAGGGAGACAGCATGGGACTCAGGCAAAAGAAATGAAGGCTGAGAGGGAAGAATATTCTAGAGCTCAGACGGCGTAAAAAGGAGAAGGCTGGACAAAGCAGTAGAGGTGAGGGGCATTTCTGGAAGGGCAGAGAGAGAAAAGGGGCAAACAAGGCCACGCACAGCCTGGTTTATTGGCTTATACACGCACACAAAATATGTACACAACATAAATATTCCAATGTACAATTTTACATGGGACTCAGAGATCATCCCTGTCTCTTTCCCCCAGTAACCCCCAACCTGGGCCCTATCCATTTTCCATTTTAGGATGAAGGCTTGCAGGGGGCTGGCACTAAAAGGTAGGAATCTGGAGGAGGGGAGAGGTCCTGCTCCCCTCTCCTCACAGGTACCTCCAAAGGGTCCCATCCCCTTTCAATGGCACCCACGGGGCAGAGGGCTAAGAACCTCCAGCCCCGCCGTCTGCTGCAGCTGGAATCCCCAACCTCCCCTGACCCTTTCTCTCTTTCCCACTTATCTCTTCTCCTCTTTAACTCTTTTCCCTAGTTTCCTCCTTACTTCCTTCTACATGTCTCTAACTCTTTGTCTTTGTCTCCCCACTGCCTGCATGGAGGCGGGTCCCCAGGCTGCATAGTCCTCCTGGCCCCCGGCCCTCATAGGAGGCTGGGACTGCGGTGCAGCTCAGCAGAAGTGTTGGTGCCACTGGTGGGCTCTCGGCTGGGGGTGGGTGCTAAGCCACAGCCCTCCCCGGGGCAGCCGTGCTGAAGCAGGATGTCTGCACACTCCTGGCTGCCGGCCCGGCGGGCATAGGCCAGGGGAGTCAGGCCCCGGGCGTCCTGGCTCCTCACATCCACCCCGTACTGTGGAGAAAGCACATTTTCCCAAGTGGCGTAAGAGGGGAGGAGAGAAGGGCAAGGTGGTCAGAGGGTGAGGGCCAGCAGGTCTGAGGGCCAGGCAGGCACTGCACTCACCCAGATGAGCAGCTGCGTGAAGACCACGTTAGCCATGGCGCTGGAGAGATGCAGTGCAGTGCGCCCGTCCCCATCCCCGTATGTCTCGTTCACCTCCTCCTTGGACCCGTGTGCCAGCAGCGTCACCAGCAGCCGCAGGTCGTCCTCCACCACGGCCCGCAGCAGTTGCTGTCCCAAGGGTACGTCCGAGCCCGGCAGGGGTGCCAAGAAGAGCTTCTGCTCATACTTGGCCCGGATCCACCGCTCCTTCTCCTCCCTGCAACCACAGTCCATCAGGGGTCAGACGGGAAGGGCCAGCCAAAGGCAGCAACCAGCTCCAAATTGGGGGCCAAGAGGGGTTACTGCGAGACAGTCACACATAGCAGAGAGGAGAGACAGGCCGAGCACATTCTTGGAGCTCACCCGACAGGGTGGGGGCGGCTGAAAGGAAAAAGCATAAGGCGCCTGGGGCCAGCAGGGACAGGGCCAGCAGGGATGGCCCAAGCATCGGTTTATCTGGCTGTCTGAACTCTCTCCGATTGGCAGTGCTGGAACAAAGGGGTAAGAGCCGGATGGGACACGCTGCCCGCCGTATCTATCACCCATTCTCCCCATCTCTGCTCACCAGCCAGGGCGCCGTGCACCTCGGCGATAGTGCCCGCGCATGCGTACCCTGCTGGCCCCTGACCTGTGATAATGCTCAGAAAGGGCTCAGAAAGGGCCAATTGTTGGCAGGTGCTGAGTGACAGGCTGAGGGGGACCCCCAGGGGCCAGCAGCCAAGAAAGCAACGGCCACTTTAACCCTTACAGCCTTGTAACGGCCATCCACACCACCCGGCTTCTCCTCTAAGCCTGGCACGTTCCCCCTTCGGTGGGGCTCACCTGCATGCCTCAGGCCCTGGCTTTGCGTAGCCCTCCAGGGAGCCCTCCCAGACGCTGTTGGCCAGTGCATTGCCCATGGCTGTCATGACGGCCAGCAGCTCCGGGGGCCAGTCATCCAGGTCTAGGGAGCGCACGCGGGACAGGTGTGCCCCCAGGTGCCGGTGGATTCCTGAGCACTCGATACACATCAGGGCGCCCAGGTTCAGGCTGGCCCAGTCTGGATCTAGGGGAGGGAGGAGACCTTATGAAGCAGGGGACAGCCCAGGGACTGTAAAGACTGGAAAGTCCTCCCCCAACCTGCAGTCTCTAGATCTTTTCTAAAGCCCCCTTTATGCCATCCCGACCCTCCTCTGTCCCACACTCTGCGCCTCAGCACTCACTGGGCGCATCGCAGTCAATACAGAAACTGTTGCCACGAACAGTGCGGACAGCTTGCACGGCCAGAGCTGCATTTTGATTCCCCAGACGGGTCTGCAACACGGAGAAGAGACGGGGGGCAGGGGGTGTCAGTCACTGCTGCCCCCGAGTCCCCACCCCGGGCTGGTGCAGCTGCTGGGCCGTGCGGCACCCCACCTTGTCCTTGGCGCTGCGGCAGCCCTGCAAACTGGCGAGGATCTGGGCTTGGACGCTCTGTACCCACAGCTCCCGCTCCTCCGCTGTTGAGGCCTCAAAGTGCCACGTCTGGCCTGTGAGGGACACCACCACGAACTCGAATGACTCCTCCACATCTGCGAGGACAGTGAGGGGTGGGGGGGAGAGCATCACACACACTGAAGGAAGACCCAGAGAATTAAAACCCAGAGCTCTTAACTCCACCTATGCCCCGCTCCTCTGTCATCCCCTCACCACATCTTCCCCAGCACAAGAGCGAGGGTGAGACTGAACTCCCGGACCACAGTGCCTCAGGCCTCTCCTTTGCCACCTGTAGAGCCTGGGTTAAGAATAGCGGGACTTGAGCTCTGGGCCCTCCTGGCCTCACAGACCAAGGGGGTGCTCCCTGGAGGAGGGGAGCTGCGTCTCTGGAGAGGGTGCGGTGGGGTGCTAGGAGGAGGATGCTGGAGGGTGGGGGAGGCGGGTGTGGGCACCATCCGTACATGTCAGCTGCAGCCGCCTCATTTTGCAGCTCATTAAACCCAATATTCCTGACGGCATCTGCACGGGACTCCTGGGAGCTGAGCCCCCTCCCCCACACCCTGGCAGAGACAGGCAGGAAGGGCAAGGGAAGTTGGGGGGAGGAGAGGCTCCTCCATGAACTGGGAGATGTGAACAGACTGGACAGGACGTCTGCATTGACGAGCACGTGGGGCAGGTGGACGGGTGCCCAGGCAGGTGGCTGAGGCTGCTCCACGCTCTCCTCTGCAGCCCCAGAAGACAGCCACCTAATCCCACTCCCAGTGGCCACCACCCCACGGGTGACCAATCTCTAACAGGAGGGTGACTGTCATGGGGGTGGAGAGACAGCAGGGGGTGCCTGTGGAAGCCAAAGAGGAAGCTGGAGGCCAGGGCCTAGAGGCCAAGCTCTGCAAAGGGCAGCCCCCCAGCTCAGTGACATACGACACCCCTGGAATTCCTCCAAAGGGCTCTGATCTCAGGGTCCCCTTAACAGGACTGCCTTCTTAGAGAAATAAAACTGGCAACTTTTCTTCCCCTGGGAGCCCCACCACCCCTCACGCAGTGGACACCCATACCATGGGCGGCTAAGCCCCGCTATGTCAAAGACTGGCAAGAAAAGGTGCTCTTTCCCTGGAGGTGATCTCCGCCCACCTGACCCACACACCTGATCTGACATTCGGCGTGGAGGCCGAGAACTAGGAGTCAGTAAGTTCAACTTATCTGAGAGCAGAGAGACTCCAATCACTGAGAAGAGGGACAGTTTTAAAGGCACTTTGGGGAAAATCAGAGGAGCACCGCTATAATCAACAAAAGATATGACAAAGGTCCTATGGAACCATGTCTAAGGAATTGGGATTCCTTAGCCTGAAGTTACTAAGGCACAACTCGGCCCATCTATAAACATGTATTAAGCACTCACTACGTCCCCAGTGCTCATCAGACTCAGCAGTGACACAAGAGACACATCCCAGGTCCTGGCCCTCAAGTGTTACAAGAGCAATTCGTATGATACCCTGCTGCCTTTACCTTTATTAAGAATAAACAGAATGAGCTTAAACTTGAGTGGGAAGGACCTAAGTTAGGTGGAGCCCTGGTGGCACAGTGGTTAAGAGCTCAGCTGCTAACCAAAAGGTTGGTAGTTTGAATCCACCAGCTGCTCCTTGGAAACCCTATGGGGCAGTTCTACTCTGTCCTATAGGGTCCCTATGAGTCGGAATCAACTCAATAGCAACAGGTTTTGGTTAAGTTAGGCAAAAGAAAGAACTCTTCTAAGATGACCAAAAGAAGTTGTGAAATTACTTTCATTAAAATGTATTATCAGACCCCTTCCCTTCCATCCTCTTTTCTAAGCTGTTTGGCTCTGCAATATGTTACTGGTGATGAGTTGTAGGATAATGCAATCTTAACTTGTTTTCTCCTAAGTATTTGAGTTCAAAATTCCTGTATCTAAAGAAATATGGTTGGAATCATTAATACTTTTTATCATGGGAAAAAAAATATTATTAGAGTGCTTAGTCAGTGTGAGGCAGGAAACAGAGGTGGCCGTGAGGTTACTGCCCCCAAACCCCACTGTCCCTCCTGTGCCCCCGCTTTCCCTTGGGGCCCCCTAACCTTCAGCAGCACTGGTGGGGCCATCCTGGCGGGGGGTGCAGGTGCTCTTTTTCCGCCGGTGCTTCTTCCGGTTGGAGTGGGGAGATGGGGGAGGCTCCAGCTTGGGGCTGGAACTGAGAACCTCAGCTGGGCCACTGGCTGGTGCGGGGAAGAGGTGGAGACATGTGGGAGAGGGAAGGTGGAGGCAGGGCTGAGGCAGAGCGGATGGGATAGAGCACAGGGAAGAGGAGGTCCTGCCTGGTCCCTAGCTGGCCGCTGGGAGCTCCACCCTGCCTTGTAGCTGGGCCAGGCCCAGAGAAGCCAGACTCTCCCTCCCCAAGGTGAAGGCCTCCCGCCCAGAGGCCGCCCGTCTCAAAGTGTACAGCTTTGAAGAAGTAACATGTGGAGAGAGGAGCATGAAGGAAACGGGCAGAGGGAGTGGGCCTGGCGGGAGAAAGGCAGGGGAAGGGGATGTTGGCTTCTGCAGCCTGGAGGGGCAGAAGGCAGCCCAGGGAACTCAGGGAGCTGAAGCCCCAGCAGCTCCGCACCAAATTTATCCTCAATCACACTCCCCGCTCCTCACAATTAATAGCAGAATTAGAAACAATCAGGGAGCTGCCTAATTACTGTCAATTAGAGCGCGCTAATCAAGCTCCCGTCTCCCACACCCCACCCAGCGCTCACCACTAAATGTCAAACTTCATTAGAGGCAGACACGCTCCCTCCCTCCCTGCCTTCCTCCTTCCAGACTGCACCGAGAGCCTCCCTAGTGCCAGCAACAGGCCCTGGCACTGGGAACCCAGGGCGCCTGAGGGCCCTGGTCACCCCTCCACTCTGGCCCCTGGAGGACTGGGCTTGGACCTGGTGTGCGCAGATACCTGTGTGGTCCTCTCAAAGCTTATTCCTTTGGGGTTAGCGCTTCTAAAGGGATGGGGACTTGGGAAGGGTCTTTGGAAGGCCAATGGGAGGGCAATTAATGCTCCTCAGCCAGGTCTGGCCCTACTGTCCAGCTACAACAGCAGGGCTGAAGAACAACTTCTGCTGGGGTGCCCTACCCCCTTCACAATGTGCCCAGGCCAGTGGGGACACCTGTGGCTGTCTCCCTCTCTTTACATGTCCGCTCAGGAGAAGCGGACGTAGACGGGAAAGTAGGGTGGAGCCCACTTCTCTCTTGGTCCTCAGGACTACTGACAGGCTCTGTGGCCGAGCGGTTGGATATGGATGAGAATAGCAGAGTCGAAAGAAGAAAGCAGATAGATGAGAGAGACAGAGGCTCACTGAGGGCCAGGGAGAAGAAATCAGAGGAAGGAAGAGTTGAGATGTGAGCAACGTAGAAAAATGGAAAAGAGGAGGCCGAGAGGAATAAAACGAAGAACAGCCACAAAAAAGTGGAAGAGGGGACGCCAGAGCATGAAGGGGGGTGGGCGGGCGGCGGCTACGGAGGGCAAGCAGCCCAGGTGGGAAAATATCTTTCAGGATGAGTCCCCGGATCGCGTGCGGGGGTGGAGAGGATAGGTGGGTGGGGGACCTCCACCCGGAGCCTCGGGAGCACTGCTGCCCAACCCGACGCCCTCCCACCGAGAGGCTGATGAGCCTACCGCACCACGGGGCTGATGGGGCAGAGCCGGGTGCTTGGGGTGGGGCAATGCCGGCAGGGGACGTGAGAAAGGCCAAGTGGGGGTTGGGACAGCAGGCCGGGAGTGCAGGGTGAAGGAGCCCCTCCTCCGTTTCCAAGACATCAGCATCAGTTCGCGCCCGGCTGCCTGAACCCCAATGGCCCTGGGCTCCCCCACCCCCGCGTGGCACGGTCCCCTGGGGGCACTGGTGAACCCACAGCCTCCCGGTCCAAGCCCGCAGCACTCCCCGAGAGTGGGGGCGCGTGGGCCAGGCTGAGCCACTCACCGGGGTGCGGGGTGCCCAGGGGCAGGGAGGTGGCCTCGCTCCACTGGTCTGCGCTGGAAACGGAGCAGGAGCGCTGGGGCAACCCTTCCGGGCGCGGGCCCACCAGGGCCGAGCTACCGAGGGGGCGGTCGGAGTGCAGGCACGTGCTGCTGGCCGAATGGGGGGCACCTGGGGGCGGGCAGAGGGTCAGACTAGGGGGCACAGCTGGGCGGTGCAGGTAGCAGAACGCGCCCTCAGGGTACTGCCAGTAAACCTAGGTCTGGAAACAGGGCTACCCAGGGTAGAGCCTGAGGAACTCCAGCAGGACGCTGACCCCCAGGTACGTGCCAGGTTTACCTCTAAGTGGGAGGGGCTCACTGGGCCCTAGGGGCCCCCATCTCCTCCTCTCCTCAGGCTCTGCATCCCCATGTGGCCCTGGGAGCCAGGAAAGGGGCTGGGAGGGCAGGAGGGCCCTCCAGTCTGGAGGTGTAAGGACTCTGTAAGAGGCTGGAGTTTGGTGCTGACCCAACCTCCTCAGAACCGCCTTTCTCCCGCCCCCTGCACCCTCGGCCACATTTGCCATTTGCTCTGCCTCAGCTTTGCTGCCATTCTAACCAGAAATAAGTGTATCAAATTCAAGTAATTATGTCTAATTAGTATTAGTAATTACCCTGTTGGGCTGGAGAAAATTAATCTTTCGTTCCCCATCAGGGAAGAATGGCAGAGGCTCCAGGAGTGCCAAGGATGGGGTAAGACATGGTGGGCAGTGAAGAAGGGGCAGTTGGCTCCCCCTGAATTTCCCTTGGCCTTGCCCCACCACTCACTTCTGGAGAGGTCTGGGGAACAGCCACGGGGCTCCAAGGCTTGTAAGGCTGAGGGCCTGAGTGGACCATGAGAACCCAGGCTTCCCCCCCTTTCTGCAGCTCACCTAAGACAAGGCCAGTAGGAAAGGGGGCGGGTGGCTAGCAGTTTAAAACCCAGGCTTTGAGTCAGTTCCTTCCGGTTCCAACCCCTGCCGAGAATTTGAATTTCTAACAAGTTCTCAGGGGCTAATGTTGCTGGTTAGGGACCACTTCTGAGAACCACCAGTAGAGCAGTGGTTCTCAAAATTTATTAAACGTAAGAATCGCCGGGGGATCATGTTAAAATGTAGATTCTAATTCAGTATATGGGGGGGGGAGTGGAAATGCAAATTATCCGCAGGGGTTCAAACCGGAACAAACCGGTTCAAAGCCCTATTTAAAACCCTCAGGGAGAAGTAGCCAGGTGCTGGAGGTCAGCAGGAAGGCAGAGAAGGGGCCTAGAGCTGGACAGAGCTAGAGAGTTAGCAAATGCCAAGCCACGGAGACGGTAGACTTGAAGCCTCATACCAGCCCTGTGAGCAAATGGTGCTGTGCTTCTGGAAGCCCAAGGATAGGAAAGCTCTGAGCTGAAGCAGCTGAAAGGTAAAGGAACAGGCCAAACATTCCAAATGCTCTCGGGATATCACGATGCTTAAAGGCTGAGGGCAGGATTTGTTTCTCTTGTGTTTGCCAGGACACCCCAAAGAGGACCAGACACACAAGTGAGTGCTTAATATATGTGTGACACTGAGGGACCACAGGCCAGTTTCCAGTCCCCTTATTTCTGAACCCCCTAGTTCCAGTCCCCCGGCTTCATAATCCTGCCCCTCCCCTGGTCTGAGTTCCCTCCTCCCTTACCTCTCTCGTGTGCCCGCTCCTCCCACCCCTAGGAAGTCTTCAAAGAGCATGCTGAGTTCCTAACTTCTCAGATACCTGGCTGCTCTAGCCCCTCACCTCCTTTCATCCCCTCCCAGCTTCCCAATGTCACCTCTCCCCTCATCCCCTGTCCCATCCAAAGACATCTCAGGCCCAACTTCCTGCCCAAGCCCCCAGCCCAAAACCCCAAGAGAGGGAAGGTGCTTTCCCTTTTCTTTGTTAATTCTCCCCTCATTACGCCTGCAATCCCACAATCAGTGTGCACTGTAATTGTCGAATTTGATGCTAATGATTAATGAATTAAACATGGAGTCATCAATTAGTCCTCGGAGGATAATTCTGCATAAAGCAGCGGATAATGTAATTACAGTAACAAAGATAATGAGATGTTAACATCGCCCGGTGAGTGAGAGACGTGTGTGAATGTGCTGGAGGTCGGCGCGGTGTAGGGAGCGAGCAGGAGCATCCATGTGCGCGGGTGCTGGGACCAGGGGACTCGAGTGCATGTGCTGCCCCCCACCCATGTCACTTGCAGCCTCAGGGGAAGGGTGTCAGACTGAGGCAGGACACAGCACCTTAGCCTTCCCCTCCCTCTTCAAGGCAATCGCTCACCTTCTCGCCACCTGCCTTCCAGGACAGGCCCCTCCTTTGGCTTGTACTTCCTCCTCTTTAGCATGAGCGAAAGCCCCCTGCTCTCTGCAGGCAGATCTGGGAGCAACCTGGAGACCAGGCTGGCCCCCGTGCCCCACCCCTGCCAAGAACTCCTGCAGCAGAGCACCGATCCTTCTGAGACTTTCCACTCGTGCTGCACGGCCCCTCCCCAGCCACCCCACGCGGGAGGCCCTCAGCACGCCTGCTTGTGGGTGAGCGACTATCACCTTTTTCTTTTGCTTCCCTCCTCTCCCTCACTGCATGGGAGCTGTCTGTCTGCACAATTCAAGGGCTTCCTGTCTGAGCTCAGGGTGGTGGAGAGGAAAGCGGACAGGCTCGGGTTCAAACCCCAGCTCCCACTCCACAGTCATCTAGCCTCAATGGGCCTGTTTCCTCACCAATAAAAGGGAGATGAGTGCCTCCACCTCACAGTTATGTAACCGGGCGTGGTGTTCAGAGTCCACCATAACACCTGGCACACCCTCTCAATGGGGTTACTCCCTGCCCAGCCCTCTGCTGGGCCCCATCTGGGCAGTGTGGCCAAGGAGGAGAAAGTCTAACACAGCCTCACACACAGTGGGGGGCCTGGGGGGCCTAGCCCTCCCCGCCAGCAACGACCATACTCAGGAAGCTGTCACACTGCCTACCTTCTCTGATCCAGAGTTCTCAATGGCACTAGCAGCATTTTGTTCAGGCCTGTCCCACCCATCCAGGAAACTTAGTATCCCCGGCCCCTGTCCCCTAAGTGGCAGCAGCATCCTCCCTCCATTGTGACAAACAACCTCTCACATGTTCTCTAGAGAAGGCGGCACACCCCAGCTGAAACCACTGCTAAGAGCTGACCCCTGGGGCAGGGACGCAGACCCTCAAGCCTGCAGGCAGGCCAGTGTCTTGGGGAGCTGCCGCTGGCCCAGGGAAAGTGAGGTCCAGTTGTCGAGGACAACATCAGGGATACTGAAGTCCCATAAGGAGGGGGCCAGGGGCAGAGGAAAGTCTTGGGGCAAGAGCTGGGCGTGGGATGGGCAGCCGTGGGGAAGTGGGGCAGAGTGGTCACTGCCACACAGGATGAGGAGGCAGAGTTGGGTCTAGAAGAGGGCAGTGGGGGCAGGGGGCAGAGGATTTTTTACCAGAGCCTCGTATGGAATGGTAAGAATGTGGCACCAGAAGGCTGCCCTGCCTCAGTTTCCCAGCCTGCGGGATACAGGGCGGCATCTCTCAAAGCTCCCTGACAGAGACCCCACCTCACCGCAGGCTCTCTTCACCCCGGCAGCCCTGCTCCTTCTTCTCTCCCTCTGTTCCCAGCCAGGAGGCTCCTTGCTATGCCCTGTCCCTGCTGGGCTGGAGGCTGGGCACAAGGGCCAGAGGCCCTGCTCCCACATGGCGCCTGCGTCAGCTCTTCGCCTTTTGCTCCAGATGAGAGGGGAGATGGTTTTGGTGCTGGCGACCTCCCAGACGAGAGGCGATCTGGCCCCATTCTACTATCCAAGCCATCTATGGTCTAGACACATGCACCACCTCAGCTCCCTCCACTAGGGCCGTGTCTGGCAAGCCCACTTGGCAGAGGTGGTCCTGAAGCACGGTGCCAGGCGGCAGCATGTGGGAGCCCAGGGTACCCCAGGTGCCGACCTTCTAGGCTCCCCTGCAGCACGTCCTCCGTGCCTCACCTGAGCCCCCACCCAGGTGGGTGCCACTCCTCTCCAGCCCGTTGGCCCGGGGGCTGGTGCCCGGGGCTGTGGCTGGCGTGGCGCGGGGCAGCCGCTTCCCGGGCACTTTCACCGTGGTCCGCAGCAGGTCGATCTCCTTGCCGTGGATGTTCTGCATGTAGTCCTGCAGGCCACGTGAGCGAGAGAGACAGCCACGCGTTAGGACAGGGCACTCTGCTGCGGGCTGTGTCTCGCATTAACCCTCTCAATGCCTGCGTCTCCCCCTGTGCCACCGGGTGGGGGAGGGGAGGGAAAGCGGGGCTCTGCACCCACAGAGTGCCTCAAGTCTGGATCATGAGTAGATCCACAGTGTGACCAGCACAGCTCTGGGGGGCTCAGCCAGGGAGAGGCAGAGCCAGGGGGATGTGAGGATCTGGAACCAGGACCCAAGGCTCAGGGGGCAACACAAAGGCAGGCGAGCAGTGGGCCCAGGTGGGGCTGAGGGGCCCACGTGGCTGAGGCACCTACCATGACCAGTCAGCCCTGCAGGTTCAGGACAATGGCACACTCTAGGCCCTGGGGGCTGGCCACCCAGTACTTCAGCCATCTTCAGATACTCCCCACCCACCACCTCGGATATCACCCAGGGCTTAGAACAGTTTAAACGGGGAGCCTTTGGTTCTGTTTGCTGGACTTAGGGATACAGCAACAGGCCCGTGGTCTCACAGGTACCAACGGGCACCTTGCTGTCAGAAGTTATCACCATCATCATCTGCTCATCCCTGTGCCAGGCCTTTACTGCTGTATTGCTTTCATGTTATCACCTCATATAATCTTCACAACCACCCTATGAGGCAAGTGTTTTTATGCCTATTTTACAGATGAAGAAACTGAGGCTTAGAAAGTTCATCTGCCCAGGATCACACAATGCAACTTAGAAGAGCCAGATTCACACCCAGGCTTTTCAGATTCCAGAGCCCATCCCAGACCCATATCCTCCCTTCAAGTCCATCCCTCAGGGGCCACTGGAAGCAGAGGCACGCAGAGGGCCCAGACGGTGGAAGCACTTTGTGCTCTGAGCTCTTGCCCTCCCCCATCGCTTATCCGCAGAGCACAGGTGCAGCTGCACAGCAGGGCCCTGCCCCCGTGGTCCCTTCTGCTTCCTGTCTGAGACCCAGTGGCTGGCCTGGTCTAGCTTTGCCTGCTGGCCCTGGTCTCTCCTCCCGGGCTTGTGACTCCAATGTCCCCTCACCATCGAGCTCCTCACAGTTCCTAGCTAACACTTTCCTCGTGTGGAGAAGCCGTCCTCAGGGGTCACACCTCTCTGAGAGCTCTGGGTGGGCATCGCCCAAGCTGTGATGGCATCACACAGATCAGACACAATCATGAGGGTCTCGGAGGACTTCTGCAGCCAGAGAGCTTCCACGCAGATGCCATTGCTGATGCAGCCCTGGGCCCCCTGCAGGCCCGCCCTCTCACCCCTGCCCACCTTGGGGCAGCAAGGCCTCCGCTATTTCCTCCCCACTCAGCCTGAGAAGAGCAGGGAGGAGGCAGTGAAAGAGCAGGGGCTCCCACCGGGGCTCCAGGCCTGCCCTGCGCTCTGGAGGAGCAAAGAGAACCATCAGATAGACGAGGGGCAAGCGTCCCAAGAAACCAACAGAAGGGGGGAAGGAGTGCCATCAGGAAGAGCAGACGGACGGGAAACGGCACCCCTCTGCCCCTCTGCACCCAGGCTGGGCGTCCTCGACAGCTGGTGGCACGGGCGGAGGAGAGGGAGGAGGGTGCCACTGAGGCTGGAGTGTCAGGCTCTGATGAGGCCTCTCCTTCCTATCTGTGGTTGAGCTTAAAGTCACCTGGTATTCTCAAAGCAGTCATTGTACCCCACAGGCAGACACCCTTCAGAAGGGGGTCGGAAGACCGTGCGTGCTTAGGGGAGAGCAGCCTTTCCCACAGCTGCAGCCCCTGCAACCCTGGGCTGGGTCCCCAGGTCCAAGGAATGAGCACTGCTGCTCGGTCTCAGACAGCAGAGCTACAGAACAGAAATCAACCAGAGCCGGTGTCCACCCACTGGGGCACTCCTCGGACACCCTTCTCTCCCCAGTCAAGAGGGGCTCGCCCCAGACTGACTGCATTCACGGAGCTCGGTCTCAGCCCTGGGCACTCCCACGTGGCTGTGGCAGCAACAGTCCCAGGGGCCTTCCCTGTCCTCTGACAGCTCTTCTACCAGCTCCTTCTCCAGCCCACCCACCCATCACGGCCGGCCACCAGTCTTGCTCTGAGCTCACTGTCCAGGTCTTGGCTGTGTTGTCTTTCCCTCTCCGTTCCCACAGCTCAGTCCACGCCCAGGCAGCTCCACATCGCCCCTCCTCTTCCAGGCCTCAACACGTGCCTGTCCCCAGCTCCTCTGCATAATCCTTCTCAAACCAGTGGCCTCCAGACAACTGTCAACAGGCCTCCAGACAACTGTCAACAGCTAGCCAGGCCAAAGGCACAGCTGCTGCTCCATCATGGGGGAAGGGGCTCAGGTCTGCTCTAGTTCACAAGGAGGTCAGGGCAGCTGCGACAGTTCCCAGGACGCAGGACAGCCCTGAAGCCCTGGGGCTGGGATGGAGACGGGTAAGCTGACCTTGCCAAGAATAAAAGCTGCTTGGAGGGACTCCCTTCAGAGCCAATGGGCCAGGACTTCAGGGAAGGACAGCCTAGAATCCAACTAGCGCATCTCAGGCAGACTGAGGCCAGGCTGTGCCTCGCGCCTGGGCAAGGCCGCCACCCCGGCTCCTCTCCCGCGGCAGCTCAGCTCTAGGCTGCATGCAGAGGTGGAATCGGCCCTGGTGGATGGCGGTGGCGAGCATTTAGAGGAAGAGCAGCAGGGACAGGGACCCAGGGGCAGAGCAACAGCGTTTCCCTCCGTCAGCAGAACAGGGAGCGTGGCGGTAGCGGCGGCAGCGGGCTGCTCAGGAGAGCGGTCACCACGGCTGCCTTTATTACCCACCATCAAACAGCAATTTCTTCCCCAGCCTCCTCGCTAATTACCCAGCCAGCGTTCTCATCTCGTTTTATTACTGGAATTAACAACGAGTTCAGAGCGTGGAAAGCTATTAAGATGTGTGATTAAGCCACATTCAATTAGTTTCTACAAACAATTTAATTGATGTTGCAGATAGAATTAACAGAAGGTGATTGTGTGAATGGCTCCACTGGCTGCAAAATGGGGGAGGCTATGGCGGGCTCTCTTGGGCCAAGCAAGAATGGGCTCAGAGCTCGAGGCAGGCTGCCACTCTTCCTCCACACGTGCTGGCCAGGCCCCGCCAGCCTGACCAGCCTCCCCATCAACTGGCAAGTCCTGGGCCTAGAAAGGAGCACCAACGAGGCCGCATTTTTCTCAGAGCTGACTCAGGGCGGGCTCTTCCTCTCCAGAGTTGGTGGGGGAGAGCCGCAGGAGGAGGCCAGGCTGCCCACCATAAGGGTGGGCTTCTACGGCCAGTGACTGAAAGCTTGCTCAGGCTAGGAAAGAGGGCAAAGGGGCGAGCTGGCAACACCTGAGTGCAGCGACCACCAAGGAATGAATAAGAATTGAGGAAGCGGATGAGAAAAAGCATCCCCTCTCTAGAATGGAGCTCACGGCCTGTTAGCGCAACAACCCGGGGCAGCCCTTGACTTTGCCTTCACTTGTACTTTTGCTATAACCACCCAGTTTTGGTCTTAACCATGTCTTCTTAATGAGGAGGTGAGCATCCACGGAGAAGTCCCTGAGTTAACGTGCTTGGCTGCTAACTGAAAGGATGGAAGTTCGAGTCCACCCAAAGGTACCTCAGAAGAAAGGCCTGGCGAGCTACTTCTGAAAAATCAGCCACTGAAAACCATATGAAGTACAGTTCTACTCGGACATACATGAGACCGCCATGATTCGGAATCGACTAGATGTCAGCTGGATTCCGGAAGCGTCGCGGGACACACGTCACCGCCTGCACCTGCTTGTTCCTGCAGTGAGTGGCCTGTGAGCAATAGCTGGTGACAGACCATGAAGGCATGCTCTCACAGGCTCTGTCCACTCAACCTCATACAACTTGCTGGGCCAGGGGAGCAGAGGTGGGCCTGGCAGGCCTGGGCTTGGGGTAGTGGCCAGCAGAGCTGCCTGCTTCTCGTAACTCACCTTGCAAGAAAGCAAGGCAGGCATCAGAAGCTACGCTATCCAGACCTGTCCCAGGTCCTGGAGTATATGAAGCCACACGTGTGTCAGGAAGTGCAGCCTCCCAAGCTGGCCAGCATCTAGTCCCCAGCCTTCAAGACTGTACAGCAGGGCTCGAGAATTATTACCCTAATGGTGCCTCTCTACAGGGATTTTCTCTGTCAGTCCCCAAAGAAACGGCCTCTTAGCAATGCAGAAAAAAGGGGTAATGCTTAGGGTCAAAGTCATGGGTGCCAGACTCAGCTCACCTCCAAACCCCAACTTTCCAATGTGTTAACTTGTGCGCAAACAGAATCCCTCAGGCCCTTACCCTCCTTCCCATATGAAAACTCAACAAGACAAAACCACTGACTCTTCCCTCCTTGTCCCAAGACCCCTCCATCCTCCTGTCTCACCCTGGGTAGAATGGGACAGATAAGAATGCAGGACAGGACACAGGACCAGGTGGTGACGGGACTGCTGGGTGTCAGCTTTTCCCAGCTGACTGCTGGGGGCCGATGGAGACAGACGCAGGCTGCTGCCCTGCTTCCTGTCCAGGTAGCCCTGAATGGGGCCTTCAGAGCACACCCCTGCCTGCTCTGGGGCTCAGCACTGCTCTGCGTGACTCAGGAGGGTGGGAAGACAACCTCGAGGGGGACCTTTCAGCTGGGAAATACCCAGTCCTATTCAGATTCCACCTCCCTCAGGTACTGAGGCTCTGCCACATGGTCACAATGCCTTACACCCGCAAAACGTTTTTGGATGCCCGAGGAACACTCTGTCCTCCTGCAGTGAGCAGACCCCAGTGCCTCTCGGCCTCTCTCAGGGAATGCTGGGGGACAAGGTCTGTGCATGTGCAGAGGGGGTGAGGTGCCTGCTGTACTAACACCAGAGTTCCCCTGGATGAGTGGCTTCTCCCACCTGGCACAGTCACTTCCTGGTAGAGTGAGGGGTACCAGGAGGGCATGACCTCTAACTAAGGGGAGGGGCAGTACCCAGGGGACCAGAGAGGGAGAAGCCCCAGGAGGATCAGATGGAGGCTGGCCTAAAGTGAAGCAGACTGGCTGGCTGCTCCCCCCACGCCTGGGCCTCTGCCTCGGGTTCCTCAGTGGGTCTGTCTGGGAGGTACTCTTTGGGTTGGGCTATGGCTGGGAAACTGGGATCCCAGAGCCCCTTGGGGTGGGCCTCGCTAGCCTCTCGTGCAGATTGGACGCAGGCTAGGGGCCTCTAGAGCAAGCCCAGGGCCTCTGGGCTGGGGGTGGGGCTGGCCCCCGTGCTGTGCTGGAGGGGCTTCACAGGAGAACTCATTAGCCCCACAGTGGGGTGGTGACAGAGATGGATTCTGGTGACAGCTGTGTGCTGGAGCCACGCAGGGAGGGGAGGGAGGGAGGAAGGGCAGGGGAGCTGCCACACGGGCCACTCTACAGTCAATAACCGCCCCCAGGTTGGGCACAGGCCGGGTACCCCCAGACACCTCCACCTCAAACAGCTCCACCCCTCCTCCTGCCAAGGGGACTTATCCAAGGCCCCACTGCATTCCCAACAGCTCTGCTGAGCTGCCTTCCGTTCTCCCCCATCCAGGCCAGGAGCCATGCCCTCCTAGGACCGTGGGCCAGCTCAAAGTGCCGTGTGGCAGCATGGGCAGCCCGGCCTACAGGAGGGCAGTGTAAGTGGTTTGACTCCCACTCCTGAGACAATGCCAACGTGGACACAGGGCGGACAGGAGGCAGCTGCCCCCGAACTGCTATACAGCAGCCGCATGTTAGCCAGGGTGCTTAATGCTCTTCTTCCCAGGGTGCAGCCACAGTGCACAGCTGTGGGGTGCAGGGAGCTCTGGCTTGGGTCCTCCTTCTCCAGTGAAAACGGACTTGCAATCCCTGAAGTCCACTGCCCACCATTCCTGGCGTCACCTTCCACCTCCTGCTCTCCTCCCCCCTCACCGCCTGTCCCCCGGACTCACATGCAGGCTGGGGTGGTAGGTGAGCAGCCCGTTGTCGCAGAGGGTCACATACTTCTTCTTCCACTCCTTGTTCAGGGACTTGCCGCTGCGCTTCAACAAGATGCCCTGAGAACACAGGTCTGGTCAGAGACAGGAACGGAAGAAGCTGTCACACCATCTCTTTTTCCACGCGCCCTTGCTCCCGGGCCTCTGCCTGTCTGGGTGAAGGAGCTTCTAAGGACCTAGAGCTGAGCTAGGGAGAGCCAGCTAGACCAAGGTCTCTGTAGAACCTGGCTGTGCCTGACCATCCTCCAGGAAGCAGCCTGGGGGGCCACCTCTCTAGGTGCCACGCACCACTGCTCCATGGGGGAGGGGGATTCCTTTCTCCTCCAGGTCACGGAGCTATGTCAGCAACAGGAGAGGTCCGAGACAGTGCTGGCCCAGCTGGGAGGCTCCAGGCCATGACTCCCAAGCCATCTCCAAGGGGTGGGGTGACAGACAGCACAGAGATCCCAGTTGATCCTGTTCTTTCACCCCTGTGCCACTCTGGAGGAGTTCCAGAATAGGGCAGGAATGTCACCTAACCAAAATGCACTAGACTCCCCCAAGCTGGGCAGAGAGAAGACCCAGCCTTCAATCTCAGCAGCCACACTTCCATTTAAGTAGAAAACAGACTTTCAACGTGGCAGTTAGATAAGCAAAAGGATGAGTAAAGCTCCAGGACAGCGAGGGCTTCTACCCGTTTTGCTCATTGATACAGTCTCAGCACCCAGCACAATGCCCAGGACACTGCTGGGGGAGCACCCAAGATGTCTCTGTCAGAGCTCAGGGAGGCAGGCTCTGCTGCGAAAAGGACACGGGAGATGCTCAACAAGAGCCTCTGCCTCCTTCCGACCATGATCCTCCTCGAACGTCGGCCCTGAAAGACGCCCTCACCCACCCCGGGCCCTCTCCCTGAAACAACAAACAAGGTGAGAGAGTGGTGGAGAACGGGCCCCAGGGCCAGGAAGAGAACAGGAACACCACGAAGGTGGACCAGATGGCAGATCACCCGCAGAACCCAGCATCACCATCCTGGGGCCGAGGAGAGGCAGTTTTCCCTAGAGATTTCCAGACCAAAATCCTACATGGGGGAGAGGGACACCAACAGATCCACAAACTGCAGGCTAAATGGGGAGGGGTCGGGATCCGCATCAGCTGGGGTAGCAGAGGGGAAGCACCCAGAGTTCCATCCTGAGGGGTGTTAAGAAGATGTGATCTGCCCATGTGTGGAGCGGACAGAGGCCAGAGAGAAAAGAGGCCCTACAATGGCTTCTCCTTTTAGGACGCAGGGCCCTGCCCTATGTAACCAAGCAGATGGGGCTGGGAGACATGGTGTGAGGTGGTGGGCAGTCTCATCTTCTGTGGTCTGAGCCCCGCGGGGGCGGGCCCCAACTCAGCTGCACCTTCCCCTCTAGGGCTCTTCCTTACAGGGGGCTCAGCCTGTGAAGGGGGAGATCAGCACGCAGGTAGGCTAGGATCTCCTGACTGACTCTCCCCTCCCCAGCAGGGAACGAGGTGAAGGTGAGAAAGGGAACGAAATCCAGCAGTCCGAGCAGCTTCAATTCCAATCTCCTACTTTTCAACAGATGTTTCACCAAGGTACCCTCTTCCTCTATCATCCTCCTCTGCCACCCCCAAAACACAGTGGTGCCGTGGGAGGTGCGGTAAATCAGCGACAGAGGTGAGTCATCTGAGAATTCCTCCTGCTACCTGTCCCCTGTCACAGTGAGAAGCCCTAACCTCCAGACGAGCTCTTGAAGACAGGCTGCACTCACGGGACACTCCCGAAGGCCAACCGGCCAGTGACCCCTGAAGGAGCTCATAAGTCCTCCCCCTAATCTGCCTCTGGGCATGGCACCCTGGCCACAGGCCAGCAACCACAGCAAACACAACACAGCCATTCCCATCCCCTGCCCTTTAGTGTAGCCAAGTGTTGCAACACAAGTGACCCCTGAGGGTAAATACCCACCCGCTGGTAGTCTCACCCCCACTTCCCTCTCAGAAGCAGGAAGTGAGAGGTTTAGGAGGCCTCCCGTCCTCCTGCCCACGAGGGAGGGCCGGCTCTCCTCTGCCCCAGGCTCTCTTCTGTCCCAGGCTCTCCTCTGCCCCAGCATGCAGGAGGAAGGGCCATGCTGGCCTCTCCTCAAAAACCCCTCTCACCACCCACCAAGCCCTCCCCTCCTGGGCCCAGCTGGGTCCTCCACTCAGGAGGCTGTTTCCCTTCCTACCACTAACTAGCTCTGCAACATCACAGGAATCCTGTCACTGCACTGGGCCTCAGTTTCCTAGGACAATAAACAGAGTGAACTAAAGGATCCCCAAGAACTAACTTTCCCTGCTACATCCAGTCCTCCCTCTTCACTGAGAAGTGAGTGGGCGTGTGGACACTGAGGCCCTGCTCACTCAGAACTCCTCTCCACGTCCTTCACCTTGGCCCCCTCTTTGGTAGGAGGAAGGCCAGCAGTCGGGGGTAATGATGCTCATTAGTAAAGAAGGTGTGGGAGCTGGCCCAGGGCTTTGGGAAAGCCGCAACCTACCCTCAGCCCACCTCCGCCCACCTGCACCTCCCACCCACCCAGCTGACTCTCCACCTCACACTACCCGCCACCGCAGGGGAAATGGAAACGGGCTGAACGCTGGGCAGAGAAGGGGTCTCTTCGCCATCCCCTCCCGAATCTGTTCAGAGGAGGCAGCGAGAGCTCCAGAGGTCCCACTCCTCCCTGGCCCAGCCAGGCTGCGCACGGTGAAGCAGGAAGCAATCTGGGGCGGGATGGAAGCTGAGCGGAGGCGACAGCCCCCAGAGGACCCGTTCCCGCCGCCCGCCTCCCTCCCAGCTCCGCCAGCCGACTTAATTGCGGAGTCCGGATTGATTGGGAATGCAAATGGCAACTGAAATGCAATCTCCACTCCCAGCAGGAGCTGGGGGGAGGGGAAGGAGCAGAACTGGGGAGAAGGGACAGGAGGGTGAAAAGGGGAGGGGCCGAGTATGGGAGCACAGGCATGGCAAGTGGGCTACAATGCAGGAGCACGGACAGACAGCCCCCCAGACAGTGCCATCACTTGGGGGTTGGTAAGAACAGGTGCACCCCCATACCTCACTACTCTGATTCTGTGGCGGCACTGGGAGCACAGGCCCCTGACACCTGCCTCCAGCCAGCAACCTGACTCAGTGAACCCTTCCTGAGGGCCCCTGGGGTGCAGGTGGGCTGGTAACACAGAAGTGACCCAACTGACCCTCAGGACAGAAGAGAACCCCACGCACGCGCAAGCTCGCAGTCTCAAGGATGACTTCATGCAGGGCTTTTTCACCACGGCAGGAGAGAGGATACAGCCCCTGCCACCCCATCCTCAGACAGCAAGGGGTACTCTGGGCTATGCTTCCCTGATGTGTCGTGTGTGCTTGCTAATTTACTGCATGTGTGGTGTGCGTACACATGTACTCAAAAAGCACACATCCCCCCATAGATCGCCTGGGCCCTGCCCATCCCTGGGAGCAGACAGCCCTGAGCCCATATGCATGCTCCTCACCTGGCAAAAGGCCCCCAAAAGGAACAACTCGGGGAGGTCTGCATTTGTGCTGCACCGGGCTGGGGGCATGCACACCAACAACAGGTGTCTGTGGGCTTACCAGTATGTGCACGCACATGGGAGAGGGGGTGGACTTTTTCAGCCTTCTCACCACCCCCGTAGGCTGACCCAGCTAGAGGTGTCTCCATCAGGCATAAATGCAATGAGTATTTCGAGGGAAGGGCGAAGCAGAAGAGGCAGGACATCTGTCACCACCCTATTCCTCACTTTGACCTCTGGGGCTCTTCATTCTAGAAACCCCAGCCTCATACACGAATTCTAGTCACGCTGATCACCCCCCTGCACCAGGCCTCAGCCATGCTGCCCAGAAGGAGGGCCCAGCCACCCTCACTCTCGCTCACTTGGGCGCTCTGACCATACCAGTCTCTCTCTGCGACACAACCTGGCAACACAGCCTCCTGTAGACACGGCAAGGCAGAGGCCAGAAGAGGGCCCCCAGATCCCGGAAACCCTAACCGTGCCCAGTGTCCCAGTGTCCCAGTGTCCCAGAGGGCACAGCACACTAGCCTGGCAGCCAGCAGCCCACCTGCGCAGACACCTGAGCCCCGGCTCTTGTCAAAGCTCCCCCTGCAGACCCTGCAGCTCCAGGGCTCCTCGGCCTTCCAGCAGCTGCCCCACACAGCTGTCTTTGAGCAAAGACACTCTCGGTCACTCAGTGTCCTTTCCCAGCCCAGCGTCCCATGACAGGAGGTGTGGACCATCCACCAGACAGGCTCGGGAAGGAGGTGGCGCTCTCAACTAATGCTCTCCTGTGAGAAGGAATGGAGACGTGCATCCCCTCACTGCCCACTCCCCAGGTTACTCTCTGGGGCTGCTTCCCCTTTTCTGGGAGGAAGGGAGAGGGCCAGAGCACCCCAGCCTGCGCTGACAGAGGAGCCCTCTCCCAGTTCCCTTCGTGTGGAGCCAGCCAGCACGCCGGGAGAGCAGTTTAGAGTGTGAGGTGGCTCTCTGCTGCCCTCCTGTGGCAGAGATGAGGCACATCCAGAGGGATGCTTCCATCATGCTGCTGAGCCAGGAAAGAGACCCTCTGGGAGGACCTCCCGACACAAAGGGCTCAGGCTGGGGAGGGGCTGTGCTCCCCTCTTAACCCGTCACACACAGAGGCCCAGAAGAGAACCAAATTCTGGGAATCTGGAAGCCCCGGTTTCCGCCCCTCGGGCCCAGGGCAGGCAGTGCTGACCTGCTTGATGGGGATCGCCCGGCCACTCCCAATGCTGTCCACCTTGCACTCGGCTGTCTTTCTCTCCCGGTCCACGTCAGCACCCTTCCGAGACTGGAAGAGAAGAGAGAAGGCGGGTTACGGGAGGCACGGGCATGCTGGGCGGCACTGCCCGCCTGAACCCACCCCACCCTTCTTCCTCCCTCCTCCTGGGCAGGGCCTGGCAGTGGGTGGGCAGGGGCGGCGGGACGGGAAGGAACTGAGACCACGAGTATTCCAACGGGTTTATTCTTACACACGGCACCATACAGAGCAGCACAGGTCACTGAGCCGGGCCCGCCCCTTACAGAAGAGCAAGGACACGAGATACCAAGGGCACGAGGAACGCGCAGCCCAGGGGGCCGGGGTGTAAGAGAAGGGGTTGAGGAGAGGTGGATGGTGGGGCCGAGGGAGGCTGGTGGCACAGGGCACAACAACCGGGGGCAGAGAGTCCGGAAGCTCACGGGCAGGAGGCCCGTCTGCGGCACAGACACCACACAGCACGGTGCCCCGAGCACGCTGCGCGGCCCGTGGGCACCGTGGACGGAGAGAGAGAGAGGAGAGATGCCCAAAGGGGCCCTGTGCCCTGCCAAGCTCTTGGGGCAGAGTCCACCCGAATGCGGATCCTAGGAAACAGGGAGGCCAAAGAGAGGGGAAAGGCAAGCGGTGGCGGTGACTGCGGCGTCCGGAGCAGGAGCAGGTGCGCAGTAGTCCATGCAGGAAGGAGCAGAGGAAGGGAGGGGCAGGAAAGCTCCCCCCGGGAGCAGCTGGGCTGCAGCAGGCGCGTGGACGCCCCCGCCCTGTGGGGCTGCTGTCACGCTGGCGTCACGCTGGCCGGCCGACGGTGCGGGGTGAGCTCCCTTCTTCTCCATGCAGCGGCCTGGCGTGGCGGAGGCGGCGGGGGCCTCCCCAGGCAGCCCCGCAGCCACTGGCTCCAGTGCTCCTAGCCTTCCCTGGGGGTGGGGTTAGTTACAAAGGTTCCTGTGGGTCTCTGGAGAGGGGAGCGCGGCGGCCGCGTCTCATCTGAGAGCAGTCCCAGGCCCGGCCCGCCTCCGGCCCGACAGGGGACAATGTCCAGAGGTGCTGTGTGTCACCACCTGGTCTTCTAATTTGGAAGGAGTTGGAAAGGCCTTTTTGTTGATGAAAAGTTGGAAACAGTGGCACATATCTGCAAATATTGAAAGAATAGAGATTTTGGCAAGTTACACTTAAGCACCGCACAAGTCGGTCAGCACTGGTGAGGGCAGAGACCCAGGCGCCTGGGGAGAGGCAGGGTAGAGTGCGAGAGGAGGAGGAGATGGAGGAGCAGGAGCAGGAGGTGCGGGCGGCAGTGGTGGCAGCTGCACTGCGGGTAGACGCCCTGGCCGAGCCACCCACTCGCTCGCTCGCTCGGGAGCCCTGGCCCCCACCCTCCTGTTCTCCCCAGGCTGCTGGGAGCCCAGGGCACAGGAGGGGCACAGGGCTGCCGCTGCAGCGGGGCAGGAAGCACAGCCAAGGGAGCAGGAAGACCTGATGGGAAAGGACCGTGGAGGGTGCGCCGCCTAGCGGTTCCACAGCAGCACTGTCCTGGGCCCCTCCTGCGCTCCATGGCCCAAAGGCCAGCCCTCTGCCCCTAGGAACCAGTGAGGAAGAAGGAGGCGGGACCACTGCCACCAGGTCCCCGGACAGAAGACACCATCGGGTGGAGTAAAGTGCAGCCTGGCCCAGCTGGGCTAGGGTACTGAGGGGCCCCACCCTGAGGATCCCCAGGGGTCCAGGGGCAGCTCCCCGCCAGAGGAAGGGAGCAGAGACAAGAGAGACAAGACAAGCAAGTGGAGTCGTGGGTGCCTGAGGGGGTCACAAGGGCAGGAGCCACAGCACAGGCAGGCACAGGAGCAGTGGTGGGCAGCGCACGAGGCGTCTTCCCGCGAGCAGGCGTGGTTCTGCTGGAGGGTGAGGGGAAGAGTGGAGACCGACAGCGATGATAAAGAAGGGTGCGGTCCCAAGATGACCCACAGAGATGGACACGTCTCGAGATCACCTCAGGGACAACAGTGTAACTGAGGCCACCATAAAGACAATGAAAAGAAAAAGAAGGTCACATGTGAAGATGCAGAGAGTGGAAGGCCCCGGAGGGTGGGGACAGGCAGTGAGCTCACGTGAGCAAGGGTGGCAGAGCAGGGTCACCACGGTCCAGGCAGGTAGCAGAGGGCAGGGGGTGGGGTGCAGGTGGCAGAGCCAGGTCATGGGTAGGTGGAGGGTGGTGACGGGGCAGAGAAAGGGAGGATGCCCTGGGCCGTTACAGCAGGGATAAAGATGGGGGGCCAAGAATGGTGCTGTGGGAGCAGATGACTGGGGCATGATGTCGGGGAGCAGGCGCCAAGGGCACGCAGCGGTCCCGGGGCAGAGCACCCAGGGCTTGCAACAGCAGCCGCAGCAGCAGCAGGCGTGGGGGACAAGCAAGGCTCTGCACAGCTCATGGTGGGAACAGAACAGGAGGCCGCGAGCTGAGGCAGGGCCAGGGCAGCGCAGCACGCGGCGGTGGCAGTCAGCAGGCGGGTGCGGCAGGCACTCGAGCAGAGCAGGCAGCAGGAGGGGTGTGTGGTCAGGGTGGAGCAAGAGGGCGCAAAACCTGGGAGCCTCGGGGGGGCGTGTCCCGCCAGAGGCAGAGGCAGATGGGGTGACAGAGAACGACAGGTTGCAGAGGAACTGGTGCTCTCCTGAGAATTTACGGCCAGCTCACCCACCTTGGCCTGACCCGAGACGCCCGGAACAGTCCAGCCAAATCCCAGCTAGACAGTTGGTCTGAGGGTGGGCCCACAGGGCAGAGCAGAATGGAAAGATGCCGGGGCTCCAGTGCACCTATGTGCGAGGGCTGGCCTTCCCAAGAGAACACCATCGGAGCCCTGGGGCTGCACTCAGGGAGGGCAAGACGCTCCCAGAAGTGGGAGGATGAGGCAGTGTGAGGAGCAGCAGGGAGGGGCAGAGACCAAGGTCCCAAGCATTGGAAGCCTTTGCTGCACACCCGTTTCCTTTCCGCAGCGTGGGGAAATGGAAAAGAGTTGGGCTGGGGCCTGGAGGCCTGGCTCTGGTGCTAGCTCTGCCCACTAAGCCTTTGTGTAACCCTGGGCCAATCACCTTTGGCTTCCAGTCCACTAGCTGCTGAATAAAAGGAGTTGGATAGTTAGACTAGATGCATTCAAAGATCCCTTCAAGCTGCCAAAGGAATTCTAAGAGCTCAAGGAGAGAGGGGCTTTGTGAACAGGGTGTGTGTGTGGTTGAGGGGGGGTGTGTGTGTGGTTGAGGGGGGATGTGTGGGATGTGGGGAGGGAGCCCTGCCATGGGCTCTGAGGAGCAGTCTGACAGCGGCTGGGTGAGGAGCCTGCAGCCCCGTGTGTGTCTGTGTCCATCACAGAGGCATCGCCCTGACCTGGGCTCCATGGTGCTGGCCATTCCCTTCCTGAGGCGGAGCCCTGGGCTAGGCCTGGCCTGTTCAAGGGAGAGCACTAGGCAGGCCACGAGGAGGGCAAGTCACGTACCGTGAAGATGTTGGAGCGCCTCTTGGACTGCTTGCGGATGGGTGTGGGGGTAGAGGAGGCAGCGATGGTCTCGATGCGCAGCTCCCGCTGGCTGATGCTGGGGGTGGAGGGGACTGAGGATGAGTAGTCGCTGAAGGCGCTGCCGCCGCCATTCGTGGCCTACGGACAGAGAGGGCTACTGAGGGCGGCCATGGGTACAGTGCGGGACAGGCAGGGGAGGCAGGGGTGGGGCTCAGGGGTCTGCTCTGCTCCCTGTGGAGACCTCGCAGGGACACCAGCGGGCCAGCCTAAGGCTGAGGGTGGCAGACGGGCTCCTAGCTCCTAAGGAAATCTCAAGTGGAAAGCTAGGTGCAGAACGGAGGCCTTTGAGGTAGCAAACCCTCTTCCTGAGGCCCTTGTAGGGCAGCTCTGTGCGACAGGGGTACAGGGTCAGAGGCAAAGGCTCTGCCCACATCTGAGATGGAGCAGGGAAGTGGGCAGGTTTTAGGGGCTGGGCTCACAGATGGGCCTGGGCTCAGACATGTGCTGGTGCCAACTGAGGCAGCCGGTCATCCTGGACTCCCCAAAGTCAGTGATGTATGTCAGGGATGCAGGAGGCTGGGAGACAGGTGACGGGCTGGGGGCTGGGCTCAGGTACTAGAGGAGGAGGTCTGCTTTGAGGCAGTGTGTGTGATGGGGAAAGGACAGAGGGAAAGCCCAGGAAGACAGAAGACTTCTTGCCAGAGTAAGTTGCAGAAGAGAGAAAGAAAGGAAGAGAAAGACAAGACCACAGGAGGGGGGCAACATGCCCGGCAGCAATCAAGGTTCTGCCCAGGACCTGGCACACACAGTGACAGGCCGCCTGCCTGCTCACAGGGCTTCCAACTGGGTGGACAGTGTCCTGACCTGGCTGCCTCACTCTAATCCTAGCACACACACACACACACAAGGAGTAACTATATGAAATACTGCCTTTGCAATATCCCCCCTCCACCTGGGGCAGGGCCCTTATGCAGAGCTGAGCTGCTCCAGGATAGTGAAGAAAAGACCCATCATTCTTCCTTAATCTTGCCCACATAGGAATACTTACAGAAATCCCTGCCACCCTCTCAGATGTCCTATAGGTCCCTGAGAAAATAGCCGGCTGTAGTCAGAACGCCAGGTGCTGCCAGGTGAGCCTTGGGAAGACAGTAGCCTTGGCAGAGCTAAGGCCGAGTGCCTGTCAATCTGACCCCGCCACTGAGCCCATCTGTCTAGAGCATCAAACAGAGACAGCAAAGGGGTGGGAAACGCAGGTATGAAAGGAAGGACTGGCCCGTACACAGAGCCAAAAATCATCAAGGCCAGGAAGTGGATAGGGTCCAAGTGGTATGATCTGAGGAATGGTGGCAAGACCTGGCTCAAAAGTAACCACTGCTCCCTGACACCCCACACCGCACTGAAAGCCATCCACCACTTTGTGGCAAGGACCCTTCTACACACAAACCCTCACAGGAGGCGGGTGAGTGCCTAGTGCTTCATGTGGATGGGTCTGCGAGTGCCTCCTCCATCACATGGAGACATCACCGAGCATCAGTGAGCAGAGGGAGGAGAGGGCTGGGGGAGGAGTGAGTGGCCAGGGCTTGGCATTATCTAGCGTTGTCAAGGGCTAGTCCTGAGCCTGAAAGACCTCTCTCGTTTTGCACCTTCTGAGTATGGGTTCCATGGAAAGGAGCTTATAAGACAACTCTAACAATGCTAACTATAGCAAAACTCAAGTGTCCTTAGCTGAAGTGGTTGGAGAAGGAGGACAGGAGAGAGAAGGGGGTGGGAAGCCATAGCAAGAAGGGACAGTCAGCACGGGGCTGCAGGTGAGGTCAAGGCCAGTCATGCAGGCTAAACTAGATTCGAGCCAATGCTTTCAAAACCATGTGCAAGGATGGGAGATAAGGCAGATACAAAGCAAGGGGAGGGGGCGGGGACGCGCACAGGGACAAGGACCTCCACAGCAGACAGCTATGTATGGCATGGATAGAGCCAAGGCGGAGAGGAGGGTGGGCCCACCTGGTTGAGGTGCACGGCAGGGATGGAGGCAGCGGACACTGCCGAGTGGCTGGGTGAGTTCGGCAGGGACTTGCAGGGCCCAATGGCCAGCTGCTGCTTCTTCCGCAAGGCTAAGACCTTCTGGGCCACTGCAGAGGACAGCACAGCCAGTTACCTCCTCTGGGGAGAAGGAACAGCCCAGACAAGAGCCTTACCCCAAAACCCAGCCCCACACGCCAGGGAGCCCTCTTGGGGGATGGCCCCCGGCCCCAACTGCCGCAAGCCCCAAGCCCCGTGCCAAGTTACCGTCCTGGAAGACACGCTCCACGTTGAGCCCATAGGTCGCGCAAGTCTCGTAGTAGGTGCAGCGCTTCAGGTCTGTGGAGAGTTTGCGGGCCCTGCTGTCGTCAATGACCCGGGGGTTCGCAGCACTGATGGCGTCTGTTGGGGGAGGGGTATGGTCAGAGTCGGTGGGTAACGTGCCTGGTGCAGTGGAAGACGCAGCACTAAGAATGCGGGCCTTTCGCCAACTCTGCCACCAGCACAATGAGTGAAACCAGGCCAGCCACTCAATCTCTCTGAATGTCTGAGTCGCTGTTTATTAACGTCAAAAGTTAAGGACTAGATAATCGCTAAGCCCCCTCCCATCTCCGGGATAATATGGACCGTAGGATTCAGCAGAGGAAGGTCCAGTGTGCGTGGAGCAAGCAAGCCTTCAGGTACGGGCGTCACGGAAGGCTGTGCTTCTCCATCAGCACTGGAAAAGGTGTGGGGCAGTACTGGGCCTTTCTCACACCTGCCTCCCCAGTTTTTACAGCCACATGCTCCATCTCCGTCCCCAAGCGCTTCTCTCTTCTCTGCCACCTCCATCCCAGTGCCCCCGCAGAGAGGGCCCGGCCTCACCTTGAGTGCCCACCAGCACCATGGGCACCTCACTGGCGTTACGGAAGCTGCAGAGCCGCAGGAAGTAGTTGTACACTGTCTGGAAGCTGATCTCATCTTCCAGACTGAACACAAACACCACGGCGTCCACCCAGGCAGCAAACTGTGGAGAGACCAAGCTAAGTTACCACCCCACCTGGGCACCAAAAAGCTCCCACCGGCAGACCCCATCAGGAGAGCGTATCTCCTGAACCCTCCCACCCACACTGGGAACCTGGAGGAGGGGCGCCATGACACAGGGGTGTCACCTGGAGCTCAGGGGGACCTCCTTCATCTCGGATGAGCAGCAGGTAACTCTGACCGTCCACCACAATCTCCTTCTTAAACCGCCCCCCTAGGAACAGAGTCCACAGTCAGTGACCAAATGTGGAGAGAGCCAAGAGGACCAGAGAAGATGTGGACACGACAGGACAGGGAAGGATCAAGAGCCAGAGAGCCCTCTGCACAGACAAGCTGAAGGGGAAGGAGGAGGCAGAATGACCACCACACTCACCCTCAGGGGACTCCTCCTGGACATAGGTTCCTGTCAGATAGCGATGCACCAGGGCCGACTTCCCACTGGACAGGTTCCCCACAATGCCCTGAGGGGAAGAGGCGAGAGGGCATTGGGGAGGAGTGAGGCAGATCCCAGGAGAGGGTGGGAAAAGCAAGTGAGCCCTTCGGAGGAGAGGGAGTGGGGCTGAAGGGAGGAAGGGTGGGGAAAAGGGCAGGTAGAGAGAAGACAGGGAAGGAAGAGCTTCGAGGAGGAGCACACCTGGCCCCTCTCCCAGCCCGTGCCCTCCTGCCTCCGCTCACTCACCACTTTAAGCTCCGGCACAGAGCGACTCAGGGTCCACTCCTGGCTGTTCACAAATGAGTCTGTCAGAGAGAAAGCAGTCCCATTAGGACCAGGACAGCATGGACAGACAACTCCCTTCCCCTCCCAGTTCACATACACCTCTGATTTCCACCACTGTCCCCTTCCCAGGACAAAGCCCAAGGCCCTGTTGTCAGTGGGACCCCAGCCTTCAAGGAGCAGCAGGAAGTTATTTTTGAGTGGAACAGCCATCACAGTCGTCAAGGAGAGGACTCTGACAGGTGTGGGTTCAGCCTCCTCGTCCCAGACCTGTCCCTCATTACCTCAGTGCTCCAACAAGGGAACTAGTTCCCATCTTGAGTCTACACCTAGCCAGGTGCCCCCAGGGCCTAGACTTGAGGCCCAGGTTAGCGGCCATCCCAGCTGGTCCCAGCCCAGACCCAAAACTGGCTGGGCACTTGGCAGGGGGGGCCCGCCTCCTGCAGCGAGTAGGAACAGCTCACCTGAAGCAGGGTGGGGCCACCCACCACATTCCTAAGCCTGGGTGAAGAGGGAGGAGCACCTTACTGGGTTTTTGGAGAGGCAGGTCAAATGGGGTGCTATCTAGCCCTCCTTGCCCCGCCCTCCCACCCAAGCTCCTCTTTAGTGGGAAGGCAGGGCCACCCTTTCTTTCCCAGAGACCCGCCTCTCAGGCTCCCACTCCCTCCTCTGTAGTCTGTCCTCAGAACCCCAGAAGCTGCCCCTTGGCTTGGGCAGTGTCTCAGGAAAGGGGAGCCTCACTGCTCCCCAGAGCCCTCCATCAACCAGCCCACCTTCTTCATCTTTGCAGGCTTTACTGCCCAGCCTCTACCCCACCGTGCATGGACCTGCCCTGGCCAGCTGCCGCTCAGGTTGGGCAGTGCTTGCTTCCCCTCCCCAGGCTCCCTGTCTGCAACTGCATCCTTCCAGGCTGTTTCAAAGGTTAGTTATCTCTAGTCACTGAAAAGGCGGCAGGAGAAAGTGCAGTGTGGCCTGGGAGCTAGGGAACGTGAGTTCTAGTCCAGCCTAAGCCCACCTGACCTCAGTCAATCTTCTGCGAGTCCCGTCTCCTGCATCCCGTCCTGACCTCACATTCCGTGATGCTGTGTGGCAGGGCACCCAGCACTGGCCACTCCTCCCCTCCCCCCACCCACCTTCTGGGCCCTTCTCTGACCCTGCCACCACTTAGAGGTTGACTGGAAACCACGACAAGGACAGCTCATCCCAAGCAAGGTCCCTCACTTGGGCCAAGCCCACGAGGGACGGCCCCGCACTGCCCGCCCACCTCTACCAGGTAGGTCACGACTTCGCCACAATGCCCTTAGTGCTCTCCTAGACTCCACAGTTCTCCAGAAAACCGCGCCGGCTTCTCTGGCCTCCGGGCGGTGGGCCATGCTCCTTACCGGGCGACGGCGGCGGGCCGGGCGCCGCGCTCTGCCCACCCAGCAGCAGC